GCTATTTGCTCCTAGTAGAAAGGCCAGGAGCTACTAGTAGCTTCTTGCTCCTAGTAGAAATGCCCTTGTTCCTAGTGGCTATTTGCTCTTATGTAAGTCCTGGTTGCTACAATCCAACACGGGCAGCGGGGTACATACAGGCTGCACTTGCCTGTAACGTCTCTCGGATAGCGACAGCTTGTCTTGTGCTCAAGCATGGGACCATGTGTACACGCAGCGCATGCAAATGCAGCAATGATAGGAAAGCTTTCTTGACAGGATGCATTAGGTTGGAGGCCATTGCTAGGTTGGACGCAAGACCGCCAGGGCCATGCCACTCACCTCACATTTACTTTGTACGCCTTGTTGCGCACGCGCGATCACCTGTGTACATTGTGAAACGATTCACTCGTAGTGAGGGCGGCGATACCTGCAGTCCACACTGTGAGCGCACCGACAGACTTTAGGTTGGCTATTAGTGGACATCGCTGCTAGTAACAAGGGCATTACTACTAGTAGCTACTTCTAGCTAGAAGCTACTAGAAACAAGGTGCATCGCTACTAGCAACAAGGGGAACAAGGGGAGGGCACTGGACTTGTCGTGGTCTGCCGCCGTGGCCACCTCCCAAGGCTTCATGTTTGGCTGCCTGCTTCAGGACGTAAAACCTGAGAAACATCAAAACTCTTCACCGCTCTTGTTACTACTAGTAACAAGTGCATCGCTACTAGTAACAGGTGCCTTACTAGTAGTAACAAGAAGCTACTAGTTAATTAAATAATTTAATTCTAATTTAATTCTCTTGTCACTTCGTTCACGTTGTTTCTGTTCGGCCGCAGACCCTCCGCCCACAACCACGCCGTAGATGCTGACGAGGTAGGTAGTAATCTGGGAAGAACTGTTTTTTGCGCAAGTCATCGGCGCACGTGCGCATCAGTTTTGCCGTTTTTGAAGAAGAACGGTCCTTTCTGTCCGTTTTGTTAGGGCCATGGCGAGCGACGCTGCAGCAACCAGAACAAGGAGGAAAAAGGCGAAACCAGACATCATCGGCTCTCCGTAGTTCACGATGAGCGTGTAAACGTGGTACATGAAGAAGAAGAAGGCGCTTATGAGACCAATCGTCAGGTTCGCCGCATACCTCGGTGGGGCGACCGGGAGCGTGTTCGCCGACGGCTTGCAACAGAGATGGCCAACAAATGAAACAAGCCCTACTAGCTTCTAGTTACTAGTATCGAGGCACTTGTTACTAGAAGC